AAAGGATAAATTCCTCGTTGATAGGGGAGATGCCAGGACACTCTGTAATAGACACTCTGAGTAAAGTTACCACTCTGACTTTGTTTTGATAAATGACAATCGACAGATGTGAAAAGAGAGGCAAGTCTCTGAACATATCAAAATAATGCCACTCACACTATGAATGTAGTTGTCTCTGATCTTGGTTCTGGTATGGGATTTTTGGGATGGGTCTATTGCAGAAACTGATTGTCAGTTCAGTATGTGCAATGAGTAAACTGTGATTCTACGTAAAAATAATCTATTGCCAACTAGATTAGGCCCAAGAACAATGGACTATGCGAGTGTATGTTGAAAAGGGAGTCACAGTACCTCTAAACATACAAATGGTGTTTCATGGTGTTTATAAATTGATATAATGATGTTTACACGTTCTTTTATCTATTGGTCTAAATGATGTGTAGTCTAGCCTAATCTTGTCAGTTTCTCTTGTGAAGTGTTTATAAACACGTGGATGTAGAACGTGAAGTTACCGAAAGTGATAATAACATCAAAATTCTTTGTAATGTGAATAACAAAGAATATCTACATATTAAATAAACTTTTTGCATCAAAATATTGGAATCAGAATTGAATGATAACAATTTGTTGATTGAACATTTTTCGAAAATGGAAGCGATTACTTACTTTCATGAAAATTGGCAAATCAAGCTGGATGATGAGAGCAGGTCTAAACTGCTTTTAGTGCCCAAGGTGTCTGCTGTTAGATCTATGCCACGCTGTTTAGCCTTTGTAATACCCACCAATTTCTTGAAGCCAATGGAGCTTACACTGAGAGAGCCATAATGGGAAAGTCGCCTGATCTATGTCGATGTTGTAGTGATGTTTGGCTACATGTTTGAGTCAGCTGCTGAGAACCTGAGCATAGTGCTTTAGTGGATAAAAAGGTAGCCTGACGTTGAAATCAGGTAAGTGTGTACTTATGCACTGAGTTCCATGGTCATACTATGGGTAAAGAGTCTCTAAGGGCCCTGCAAAGATTGCAGCAATCTAAGACTGGCCTAAACATGTGGCTATGTGAGAGATTTGAAATTAGCTTGGTTTTGTGTCATATTTTCGACATTTTTTGAGAAAATTTACCAAGACTGGCACACTTTTATGTACTCTCTCTAAAGTTAAATCATATTTTAGATAGACTGAATACTGTGACCAAGTGTTTGAGTTGTTAAAATGTGCTTTAGTTGAATTTCTGGTATTGGCATACCTATAATGAGACTATCATTTTTCTGCTGCATACTAATTTCATTGATAGTGGAATTGGAACAGTAGTACAGCTATGTGGTAGTCAAACTAGGAACCTTAATAAAGCTTGGTGAACCAGGATGTTCACAGGCACAAGGGATATATTTACTATAGACAATACACAAATGAGTACACATATGCTTGTAGAATTGTCACTTGACCAGAGTAATAGTTTTAACACTCTGTATCTAAAACTTACCTTTATAACAGATACTAATTGTAACTGGTTTATTACACCTCTGAAACATACATTTCTGGCTGAACTTCTGACTGATCAGAATCAAGTGGACGACATATTTTCAATTCTGAATTTTTAACACTTCTGGCTATTTTGACTGCTTAAACAGCCAGTTACTATATAACTTTAATCCTCACTACTTGACCACTTTATTTTCACTATTAACTAGGAGGTAGATTTCTTGGAAAATTGTTTTTTTTTCAGTAACTTAATTACATAGCATAACTACTCCATGGCTCTCAAGACTTCTTGTGCTGATAGAAAGTTTGTTTCAGTTGATGTGGATCTTATGCATAAGGATGAGTTAGTGAATGATTTGTCTGTCATGCAGACTTTGGCAGAAACTATGAGTGAGTGAGTTTTGTGATATACATCGATAACCTGATCACAATGCCTCCAGACATTCACTAGCTCTGGAATCACCAAAAGAAGCACAATCTAACCCTCAGTTGCTAACTCCAGAAAAAGAATCATTATTATAACCCAGCCTTTCTGTGGCTCAAGAACTACCAATAATATTAAGAACAAGAACAGCATATTCATGAGTAAATTCCAAAACCACAGAGACTGTGAGTCATTACTGTTGTCGTGGGAAGTGTCCCATCAGTGTCCAACAGGATCTCTTCATCTCAACACGTAAAAATAGTTCAAATCTGCCCAAAAGCTTTCTAAATGCTGGTAAGATCATATTCTATAGGTTCTGATATATATGATGACGCCAGTCTTGCCTCTAGGATTGAAAGTTCAAACCTCACATGATATCAGGGCTTCCACCTAAACAGCACACTTTCTTTTAACCTGCAGTCACAACTATTCACCACCATGAAGTTCCCAACTAAAGCCTTCAAAGAGATCATTGAAAATTATACTGTGTAACAAATGGCAACCCACAAGCACCATTGATGGAGGAAGGGCCTTGTGCCAGCAAGAAGAAAACTTGCAGCATTGAAGTAAAGACACCACCACCTCTAGGACAAACTATGAGATCTGCTATCTCCAGATGCAATTAAAACACACCCGGAAACTTTGGCCTGAGAAAAAAATAATATGTCAAGCCATTGCTGGTCTCAAGAAATCCACTATTGGCGGTTGAAATTGGCTGTAAGGGCTATTATGAGTGTGACTGGTGACTTTTCCTTTTTTATGTATTTTGTTATTATCATATTTGTTACATCAAAAAGCATAACTACATCCAACGTTCAACAAATATTTATATAATGGATTTCATTGTGTTATTATATGACACTACTCTTTCAAACTAACAGATCAAAAGTGAGAAAAAGCAACCTTTACTCTCCATATTATAACAAAAAACTTTTTTTATTTCTACAAATGTTTAGCCATATATATTATCTTGTACATTTAATATTGTCACACTATTTTTATCTATGTTTAAGGGTATTTCGGTTTAATTTCCAATCATTTGATCACTAATATTTGTGATGCTCTTTGAACAGATATTAACTATTGTGATTATCTGTGTTACGGTTTAATTTATTAATCTTTAAGGGGTTTTACTTGCCTGTCTTGTCTATTTGCTGTATCGTGTAAGTGTACCACTGAAACATGTCTGATCCACAATTTTCTAAAAATATATTTTACTGAATTTAAGCTTAGGGATGGCTAAGGACAGCCTGAAAACAAGGGAAGGTAGAATGTGGTATGCGGAAAAGTATTATATTTCCTTTCTTTCGATGCTTAGAAAAGAAAATTGTTTAGTTTATCAAAATTTTAAACATTTTTGCATACACACACATTTGTGAAAACTTTTACGTATAAAAACATCTGCTTTTTGAAGTACTGATCCAATTTCACGTGCTATCTCCACGTCTTCAACCTGTTTATCTCATTTAGATATTTTTTGGCTTTCTCACAGAAGGGATTATTGGAAAGCTAGCTGTGATATTGCATAACTGTCTCTAGGACCATCACCTGTTTAAGTTTAAGATATGTAGAACCCATGTCGTCCTTACTTTCATATGAGACAGACAGCTTGTGATGAGAGTAATGCCTGTGTAATTAGATGGATGACATTATTGTTGCTGCTATATAATGTCATACTCTCTCAGTCTAGAACAGAATCTTTTAAGAATAAGGTAAATAATTCAAACTTCTCTTTCCATCAACTAGAGGTGTTGTACATTTTGATGATAAATTATATTCCCTCTGTTTATATTTTAATACCTTATATGGTAACATGGCTGAATGCAAATTATTTAAACGGTAAATTTACGAGATTTATGTTTTAAACCATAAACTTCCCAATGGGATGAGCGCAGCCAAGTAGTTAACGTGCCGGACTGTGGATATAAGGGTTCGTGGTTCGCGTCTCGTTACTGCCAAAATAAATAAGGCGTTCCGCATTTTGAGGCCGTGGGCACATTTTAAGACTGACGGTCAAACCCCGTTACTCGATTTCAAAAAAGTATCTTAAAAGTTGGTGGCGAGTGGTGTTAAATAGCTGCCCTCAATTCAAAATTGTTGATGGTTGAATTAGGATGGTTAGTGCAGATGGCCCTCGATTAACTTCATGCAAAGTTCAACAACACAAAATTCGTATACTTTTGAATATAATTTTTTCTGACTGGTTATTTTATACGTTTTAAACTTTGTGTAATTGTATTTTACACAAATATCTGCAGTTACTAACAATTTATTTTTTAGATAAAGAATGCATAAATTTATTACAGCAAATATCCAAACTTAAAATAGTATTTAATATAATGGGATTTTTGTAAAATATCAGGAGTTTCTTCACTCTTTTGTGTTTCATTTTAAATCTATTTAGCACTAATAACAAGAAATCAATAACATTCAACCAGTATTTCCGCGCGTTAATACTAGTTATTGTTTTATCAAAACCAACAGAAGAGAATACTTGTTACCGCTAAAAACGTTGTTTATATCTTAAACGTGTATCACCATGCATTTGTTACACATTTTGATCTCACTAAAACTTTTTCATATAAAATATAAAGAAAATAAAATGCTATAGATTTTTCCTACCTTGAAATGATATTGAAGTTTCACCAGAACAAGAAAGAAATGAAAAAGTTACATTGGAATTTTTCTACTTAACTATACCTTGATTATGAGTACTGTGCTTATCAGTACAGGTAACTATATCTAAGGTAACTAAATGAGCTGAACGAGATGTGACTAATATAATATTATTTTATCAATTATGGAGAAATTAAAAAAAAAGGTTTAGCATAACAATGCATGTTTTTTCAGATGTCGCTATCCCCTCGTCTGCTATTAAGAGATAGTTGCGATCCAAAAGTGCGCAAAACAAAATAGTGCTCAATAAAAACATCTTTTTTTTAATGAAAATATCATTTGTGTTAGAAAATTATATTTTTAAGAATGTGGTAATTATTAATAATTTATAAGAAAATAAATTGTACGCAAAAGTTCATAATAATAAAGAAATAAAATGTACTATGTATTAATGCGCTTTTGCTGCTTTGCGACGCAGCAGTATCGGAGTTTTCATGTAAAATTAGCACGGCGAGTGGTTGTCTTCGATCTTGGTGTGTAATACGGTGTGTCGTTTGGAGGCCGAAGGCTATTATGCCGATACTATGACAAAACTTGTTTGGATTGAATGGCCTCCAACTTTATTGCTCGGTAGGTTAAAGAAATTTTATTTTAAATATATTTTACAGCACTTTTATGAAGAAAAAATTAAGAAGAAAAATACGATGATGTGTAATATGTTTTGATTTAATTACGTTTTAAATTGTCGTGTTGAACATATTGCATATGATTATGACTAGATATGACAATGTGTATGATTGACTACACTATGAATGTGATGTTAGTGGTGTTAGCATTTTAGTATTAATCAGAGTTTAGAAATGTAATGCAAATAAAGATTAGTTTTATTTTTATCAAGTACTGGAATTAACTGTAAAGTAAATGGTAATACTAATTTAGTATTAGTTAGTTGAAGTGATGTAAGTATGCTCCCGCAGGCTTGCAAATACGAGGGGGGACCAGAGCCTAAAGGATGCCCGAAGGTCCTGACAAACTTAAGAATTACCGACAAAGGGAAGAGACATATTTTAATTTGTTTTGAACTAAATGGCGGTTACACTATGATGTCAAATTAATGGTATCAATCAGCTATAATCATAACTACAGTTATAACTTATAGGGAAATATATGTAGGAGCCCAATTACGTTTTATGCGGAGAGGGGCCCATTTTTTTGTCGTTACGTTACTGGTTAGCTGAGTAACAACAATGTACTTTACTCAGTCTTTACACTTTGCTTTGAAGTATGATAATAGTAATATTAATAATAGTGATTTCACATTATGAATAAGTAAATGTGTGTCAGATTTTATGTAGTACATCCGAAGTTTTCAAGATCATTCATAAATTTAACAAACTTATTATCAGAAAAAAATGTTATTGAAATTTATTTGAAGCCAGCTTGAAGATTCAAACTGTTTTCTATTATATTCGTTGTTACTTTCCTAGACTCGTATCGTTTAAACTTTAGCCTATAATGGCATATTACGTTATAAAAATTGTTGCAAAAGTCTAACGATTTTTTGTTATTTTGTTTCATAGCGTATATTCAAATTCAACGATTTTTTGTTATTTTGTTTCATAGCGTATATTCAAATTCAACAAATACACCAACTTGATATGCTGTTGGAGGATGTTTTTAAATCTTTACTTGAGAATTTTGGCTAGTTATAGCTAGAGATTTTTTTACGTCACATGACGAGCGCGTGGCTTATTGACTTGGACAGGGGTGCTAAAACGTCTTCATCCTGGCAAACCATGAAATGAACTGAGGAATATACTACATTTTAAATAACCATTTGAACCCCACAACTGCCTAACTCAGTAACTGGGTGTTTAGACATTTTCCACTTCAGATATCTCCATGGATACAGAGATACATGTATGTCTACCTGCTTCTGTAGGTCCTAAATTTCTTGTCTGGCGGTACGTTCTCTTCATAATCATATAACTTTTGAGGACCTCTTCACTGGAATTACCTTGATAGTTTAGGAAACGTTTTGAGCCATATGTAAAGATCAAGTTAGGCAAAAGTAGAGTGATTGATTTAGTGAGTTTGTTATATAGAGGCAGATTGATTATTCAGTTAGCGAGTTTTTTAGTAAGTCGTCTGTTTTCTCCAGTTTAATGAACATATAGCTTTGTGTTTCAACGAAGTTGTTAGGGCTAGGAGAAACTGCCGTACGTACGAGAGAAGCTAACAAGTAAGTGAAAATTCGATAATACGACGAATACACATAATTTCAAATCTAGACACACAAGATATTCTAGGCTTCACACGTCATCATACATAATACCGAAAACTCTTTTTTTTTGAAGAAATACAATATGAATAAAAAATGTCTAAGTTAAAATATTAAAACATAGTTCACAACAGAACAGTAGTTTCTTGTTTAAAAGTCTTAATCGTATATTTTTTCGATGTTTCGTAATTGTTTATTTGTAAAAAAAAAAATTGCCCGGCGTTTACATATCACGAATACAAAGATAGTAGTTTAGCTACAACGCAATACAATTAAAATTTAAGATAAGTTATTAAATTTGACTATACAGTAAAGAGTGTTTTTTGTTAAGCGCAAAGTTACTTATAAGAGAAACGTAAACAATGACGGTGTTTTAATAAAGGTTGTTTGGCCGAAGCTTTGACATCATGTTACTCTGTCCCTTACACTACAGTGACTTTAATATAAAAAAAAAAAAAGATTTTGCGTTTAGCGTCAAACTATTGATGATTGCCTATAACTTAAGACCTTTACGTTGGCTAACTTTTGTGTCTTCCGCCTTTAAATCTATACTGATGTTTTTTGTTATCTCTTAGCACAGTAAGAGTTCCAGCTTACTGTTTTTATTATTTTTTATATTTTTATGCCTCTACAATCTTGTATACATGTTTGGGAAATTTAATAGTCTCCGCGCATGTTCGAAAAAATAAATAAACAAAGAGTTTGTTCTGCACCAAGCGTAAGAACATTAGAACTGATAAGGTGACTGAGGACGGATTAGGATCACTTGTAAACCAATAATATTAATTTAGCAACAGCGACAAACGTTTGTTACAAATGGTTGGACAAGAAATGTGACGCGAAATTTCGCCGACAGGACCGTTTTATAATTGCCTATGAATAGAATAACACTTTATTCAATTGCAAAAAAATAAATAATAATAATAATGATAATAAAAAATAGATAATAAAAACATTTGGTGGGTGTATATATGTATATATGTATATATATATTATATTTATACATAAAATACCTTTTTACTTTTTAAATCGAATTCGAAATATTTATAATGTACAATGTAGTTTTTGTTATGCATGTTATTTCTAATGTTTAAAAAGAAGTAGCTTAATATATTAACATTAAAATTTGTTATATTATTGTATAACTAAAAGTTTAACATTTATACGATCTATTGTTAATTCAGTAATTATGATCCTATCTTAAAAATAGATTATTTGGATGATGATAATAGAATGTTAAAAATGAGAGGCAAGTACAACGCAGTCCTGTTAGCGATATTCCCGTAAGGGAAGTTTCGCGGTACCATTCTTGTCAAATAGCCAAATTAATAAAACATACACTACTAATAAATAAACAAAACTATAATCATAGTATAAAATAACGTAAAATAGGTTTTTATTAGCTCAATTATTGTTATAATGGTTTCTGATATTGGGCGGTTTATTTTGGATTATTTAGTAGAAAAACTATGGAAAGTCTAATTCACTTGAAGATAATTAGAAACAACGTTTTATTTCTTTATCTTGAAGTTCCATATTTAGCATAAATAATGCTTATGTAAAGGTCTAACTTCACTATAGAAGTAGTTTCACTTACAAATTTTTACCTGTATCATTTCGTGTAAACGCAAACGCGATATTGTTTGTTTGTTTGTTTTTGAATTTCGCGCAAAGCTACACGAGGGCTATCTGCGCTAGCCATCCCTAATTTATCAGTGTAAGACTAGAGGGAAGGCAGCTAGTCATCACCACCCACCGCTAATTCTTGGGCTAGTCTTTTTACCAACGAATAGTGGGATTGACCGTCACATTATAACGCCCTCACGGCTGAAAGGGCGAGCATGTTTGGTGTGACGGGGATTCGAACCCGCGACTCTCAGATTGCGAGTCGAGTGCCGTAATCACTTGGCTATGCCGGGTCGAAACGCGATATTCACAACATTGAACTAAATAAACAACTGGCTGACAGATGGACAAACTTTCTTATAAAAAAAATGAAAATGAAAATACAATTAACGTTTTAACTTTTCCTTAAATCCGCTAAGCGATATGTCTGAAAATTGGGTTTCGATATCCGCGATTGACAAAACACAGATAGTTCATTGTGTAACTTTGCGCTTAAGAACAAACAAGCAAGTCCTTAAGTCCCCACAGTGGCACAGCGGTATCTCCTTCAGAGTTATAACGCTAAAAACTGGGTTTCGATATCCGTGGTGGGCAGAGCACAGATAGCCCATTTGTTTAGCTTTGTGCTTAACTACAAACGAACCTTAAATTCGCCGACTCAGAATATTAGTATGGTCAAAACATAAAATTGTCTTCAAAAATTATGTCTTTATTAGTATGTGATAAATAAATTAACTTAAAACAAAATCCCCAATGTTATAGTACGTGGTTTTACCGGTTTGTTTTACTTTAACCATTAGATGTTGGAATTTTGGTGCTCGATACTTGAATTTTAAAGAGTTATAATGACCTTCATTTATAAGCGACAAATGGAAATAGTAGAGGTATGTTAAGGAATTGATATAGTTACATTAATAAATCAAGTTTGAAACCACAAGTTAAAATTATTTTAAACTAAAACCTATTTCTCAAAACGATTTATGTCTTTCGACACTATCTAGTGTCTTCCTTATTAATAACTAAACAGGACACTATCTAGTGTCTTTCTTATTAAGTACTAAACAGTACCAGATTTTTTAACTCCCGAAGCCGTGATAAAAAATCCTGGAAAATCAATATGTTCATCCTGAAATAAGTCCTGAAGCTATTGTAGTTTATTCAAAACTTTTGTTTTTTAAATTTTGAGTATTTTCTCTGTTTTACTACAAGATAAAATGTTCTCCGGTTTATATTAAGAAAACTCATTTGGTTAATGTTATAATTAAATATGGGAAAAAAAAGCTTTAAAACAGTTGAAGATTACAAAGTAGCAAAACAGTGAAATCGTAAATACTGAAGTTAATTATTGTTAACTCTTGTTGTTTGTCCATACAAGCAAAAAACGTAGGTTTACCTTGCATGAAAAAAAACAAACAGTTCTATAAACAAATGTATTAATTCATAAAGAATAAAAACATTTTCTGTAGAATTACAAAATAGCAAACACAAAAAAATTTAATTAAACTGTACTATTGTTCATTTTGGTAGTAATTGCAACTTACATATGCAAAATCCCACCTTTTCCTTTGCATTAAAGCAGTTTCTTTCAAAAACCTGTATATTCGCAAAGACAAAAATAAAGCAACGTGCTCTCCATGGGATTTTGAACCAGTCAATTAAATATAACATTGTTTTATATATGTTCTGAAAATATGGGAATGTTTGTGCATTCTATAACAATTGC